AATCTCTGACTCCTGAAGAGGATCTGTGATCAACTGACTTTGGAAGAGATTTGCAGGGGTTTTTATATTGCTAGTCTTGGAGGCTGGTTCAGCCATGTGGTTATTAGAGTCAATGACATAAAGGGGTCATAAGTCTAGCCAGGAACTTTGTGCAACACCAGTCTAGTATTTAATGGAAACTCTGTTGCTGAGAGGGGGCTGCTGGAGGCAGTATCAGGTAACATGGAGGCATACATTGTAGTCTCGAGAAACAGTACTGGAATGCTTGACTCTGGTTTGTATCAGACGCAAGCATCCGGGAAACAGAGTTGCGATCAGCAAAAGAGTTAATGTAAACAAAAAGGGCATGAGCTGCATCAATGAAAAGGTGCACTACAAAAGATGCTGGTGACAAGTCACCACAATCGGATTTCAACAGGTTCACACAAGTGAAACCTTTGAATGATAAAAAATACCATTCGTAACAGTACAGTCCAATTTTATCAGGGCAAAAAATGAAATAAATTTAAAAAGAAATCCGCTCTGTATATTTTTCAATTTTACTGAAGTTTCTAATGATCCAGTTTTGTTAGCTGGGTATTTATTCGAGGAAATGAATAAAATCGGGCTGCTTTCCATAAACAATGCTCCTGATAATTGTTGTGTTCTTTGAATTATAAGCCTGCATACTTGACATTGTATTGGAAACTAACCTGCATGGGAAACTGTTGATTAAAAAAAATTTCGATACAGTTCTAAAATTCTGCTGATAATGTATATGTAAAAAACTCACAGTTTTCGGATTTTTTCATTCAACCCTTCCCATTTTAAAAATGGCAGAAAATATACTCTGAAAATAATCTTATGGGATAAATAACCCCTTCCCAATTAAAGTACTTTTTATCAGTTTTGGCTTAAATCACGGAAGTAAAAAACCGGGACTGTGTCAAACGTTGCGATTTAACCCCCATGACATAGTCTTCTTTTAAATCAGTTCACGAAGATGGTGTTCCCATTGCTTGCAGAATTGTTGGCTCTTATTCAAGTGTTATTTTATAAGAGATAAACTAGAGGAAAGGTTCGAGGCTCATAGTAAACTGTTTTACTGCATTTGAATTTATTTTATAAATTATAACAGCATATAGACGAGAAAATTCAATTTAAAGTGCTTTAACGACTAGTTCAATTTATCACGTTGACAAAGGACATCAAAATGTAGTTCAAAGGTTATACTTCCGTGTGTTAAATTTCTAGTCCGACGACGACCTCACTACAAATAAAAAAAATCTCTATTCCAGTTATTGAGATGCTCTGGCTTTGGACGAGGACAACCAACTAATTCCTCCCAAAAGAAACATGCAAATTCCGAAATATTTCAATTCTTTTATAATTTTCAAAATTTGGAAAACGAACATTAATTTTTGGTGGTGTATACTTCGTACAATTGTTCACCCAATATCGAAATGTGATCAAAAATGTTCGGAAGAAAGTCTACGTGGAAAATGAGATGCAACAACACGCTATACTGCTGTAAAGATTCACAATTGAACGAAGATCTGAAAAATCGGCGAAGGTTTCCGAAATACACAGAGACAACTTCGCACCGTATACGAAATACAATACAATACCATAAAATTATCACAATACTACACCTTCAACTGGTTCCAAACAGCGTAAGAAGAGTGAGCAGAGACTGCTTGGAATTTGAGATTTAAGGCTATTTCCATCACTTTCAATTCGGACTCATTGTAAATTTTGCTCTATTTAGTGCGGGCATTCTCAATATATGTGGTGTATATAATCGTTGCTTACGAGCACCCGAAATGACTAGTTCTGTGTTTCGAACTTAGCCTGCGTTAATATGGCCTCAAAACGTTCCAAAACATAAACAAGGTAGTGTAGTTCAAATATAAGTCATGACAACGTCGGAACGTCCCACTGTGCTAATGCACCAGAATTGCAGTATTGTATTACAGTATAACGCAAATACAATTTTAGCTGAAATCAAGCATCAAAAGCTGCGAAAGTATGAGGATCAATGATGCATCTCATCTTCAAATTAAATACAGCTTTTCCCTGTTGAAGTAGAAAAAAACAGCGAGGGAGGTGGTTTCAAAAATTCGAAATACTTCTCCACCATTGAAAAATTCTATAAGCCCATACAGTATATCCGCTCGTGATATTCAATAGAAAGCACCAATTAAATTTAATGAAAAACCTTCAATTTGAAAGGGGAACATTTGGAAGCTTTAAAATTATGGACCACTATTTTGGCCTGCAAGGACTCTCCACCTGTGGAGTGATCGGGAAAGTAACTTTTTCCAAAACTAAACCGGGAACCGGTGTGTTTTCAACCCGTCGTAGTAGTATCTTGTTGAATTTGTCATATAATTTTAACTACAGGTTATTTGTTATGTACGTATGTTAAAGAGTGAATGCACTGTAAACGTTTTTAGCATGAGGAAGATTATATATACAAAATTCACTTGAATTAAATTCGATGGTTTTTTCAAGTCAAGTACCTTGTCAATGAATGCGCTGCATCACATCTGAAAAGACGTTCTTCAAAATTCCTACTCGCCGGCCTAATCTGTCGTGCAGTTAAGCTTCTAGCACGTCACGGGACTGCCTAACATTTTTTAGCAAATATTTTCCTATTCATGATTCGCGGTATAAAAAGACCAAGTCTTACATTATTCGAGACAACACGGCTTTTAATATGCATTTCAAGTCACTTAGAACTCGGGGAAAATTCGTGAAAAATAGACTGCATTTCCAATTTTTGCGAAGTGCGATGCTCAATAACCCACAACGTATCACTTCAACTGACGCTCAAAAAATATAATTCACTCTGCGCAGCAGCGGTTATCAACTGAAACTGTCAAAAGCTCACAAAACGAATCGCACGTTCAAATATGATAACTCAACGAACAAAAAAAGCGACAAAAATTTCCCAGTAACCTTCACTTTTCAATTGGCAATGAATTCCCTCACTCAATAACACTTGAGCTTCCGCCGACGACGGAAAAAAAAAAAGAGACGCGAATCGAAATCACTGGGACGACTTCAACGCCGGACACCGGAAAAAAAGAAGAAATATGAAGGACTTCCATAGAAAATCCGATGAGAGAAGTAGGAAATGTTTCGGCTTGGAACAAAGAACGGTGCCAATAATGAAATCGCCAAAAACAACCAGTGCCATCATCACAACAACAACAAAAAGAAACAAACCCCGGTGCGCCATTTTGCACATGGCGTGTTCTCTTTAGTTCTACGTTCCCAACCGCGTGATTCACAGCCTCACGTTTTTCTGGTGACGTCAGGAGGACTTCCGAAGCAACTCCTCGATCTAAAACCGACACAAACCCATAATCTCCAGACTACCCTCTTGTCTCAATACAAGGGGTCTAACGACAGTTTTCTGGATACAATTGAAAACGGCTTATGGTTGAGCAAACAAAAATTGCATTGTCTAACAAGAACATTTCTTTGGCACAATGGAATATTTTTGGTGCAGCCCTTCTCCTTCTGAAATCTTGAGATTGACATGGTTTTAATACCAACGGTTGCCGACATTAAGTGATGAATTATTTCGCCCTTTTCATCAACATCCGCCACATACTCATCCCAAGTGGCGGCTCTTGATGAAAATGGTGGAATCATTAAACAATTACAGTAATTGCGGCAACCCTTGGTATTACAGTAATGTAGTCAATTTCAAGAATTCCGAAGGCGAAGCTGCGGGGGACGGCAAAAAATCTGCTAGACGGGCGCCTCATCTTTCAAGTGGAGAGCAGAAAGGCTGCCAGGGTGACTTTCGCAAACATTTCCTGGAAATTATTTTAAACAGGGCTGAATTTAATTTATTTTCTTGTGCCAAAGAATGTTTTATTTTAAAACAATATTTTATTGTTCTGTTTCAGCTCAATAATGCACCGTTTCGATTTCTATTCCGAAAACTTTCGTTAAGACACGTTGCACAGAAAACTTTTCTCACCTGGTTCTTGAACATCTCCTTCATGTCCGTGATGTCCATTCGGAGCTCGTCCGCTTCCTCGACCTTCTCGCCGTACATTTGCAGAATGGCGTTGTGCTCACGCTGCAAATCCGCAAACGCACCTCGCAAAGTCCCCAACGAAGACAGTTCCGTTTTGAATTCCTCATTTTCCGACGACAAGCGCGTTATTTCGTCCGACAAACAGGATCTTTGCTGCTTCCAACGTTCCACTTCCCTTTGCAGCTGCAACACTTCGCCTGCAGAAAACAAAGATACAAACGGACAATGATTCACCGACTAATGGACACCCGTCGTTCATTTTCCTCATACCTCAGCTCGAAAACTTGAAGCGTCAAAAAAAAATAAATACTGAAAAAAAAATTCAAGAATTTCGCTAGCTGTTGCAAGAATTAAATGCGACATTGTTGTCTGCCTACAAGCATTTATTAGAAGTAGGTTTTTTCTGAAGTTGCTCATTGAGAAGTTGCGTGGCCACAAATGAATATGTTCATTGATGATCGTGGTGAAATCGGATATCCAGGGTATTGTCTTGTAGCAAATTGAATTGCCTTTCTTTCTGTGTTCTTTGAATTATTGTTAATGTATTTTTTGGAAAGCAACTGTTGTTTTCTGATATACTCTGGTGCACCACACGCACCAGACTGGTTATTTTGATTTTATCTGTTACATAACTTGCTATTGTTTTGCATAATGTTACTTCAGTGAATTTTGCATGCGTGGATGATGAAATTGTCAGTCTCATTAAAAAATGGCACAGAAGCACATTGTTAATCTTTTCTCTTGATTAAAACCAACATACAACGCAAAGGTCTATGAAGAGAACTTTTATCACTTGCAAGCTGTGTAAATGCTCCTACACTTCATTTTACCTAAAATTCAGAAAGATAGTGCTATTTTTAGATAAAACGAGCCACAACTAGCATTAAAAATTCTGATAATGCACACAAATGCGTGTGAATACTGCACTGTACAGGAAAATCTCATTACAAGAAACCTCCAAGGACATCAGAAAAAGTTTGTTACACTAACAAATGTTTCATACTGAGATTTTCCTAATTCATCAGTGCACTACCTGTTCTGTATGGAAGTTTATTTGCCCTGAACTGAACATTGCTCTCAAAACAATACCCTCAATTTTGTTCCACTCTTGCTTAGTGCCAAAAAGAGTGTGCCTGGACAAATGATGGCACTAAATTTAGATTTGACTATACTGCTGCATACAGCATCTGTGGCAGAAAACATGAGTTTCCATTAGAGATTTTGAGGATTTAATTTATGCCTTTTTTTCTTGCTTTTTTTTCATAAATACAGTATACCACAGGTTTGGCCAAGGAAAAATAGGTGAGGATGCTGCTGAGGGACAGAGGCTTTGGTGCGCGATTTTCTTTGGTAGCGGAAATTTCAACTGGAGTTTCTGTTGCTTTTTTCTATGCGCAAGAGAGAGAAAAAATGAAAGATTTTGCGTGGATTTTTGCAAGTTCCCGGGAGCAGTAGTCAGAAGGATTTTTGAGCCTGTACAAGAGGGAAATGCCTGATGACCCCCTGTTTTAGCACATTAATTTTCCAGCTGGAGAATTAACTCAGTCTTCTGTTTTCCTGTCTCCTCAAGTCATTCCTCTCACTACATCATCCACAACAGCAAGGGAACGAAGTGAAGCTGAGAAGCCAAAAAAACGGGTTTCGGCAGTTTCGAATATCTTGTGGCAAAATGACTTCCACGTGGGCCCACCGCAACATTCAATCAAATCAGTGAAGGATAAGAAGACTTGATGCACTACCTTCTCGCCTGGACAGCTGCGACTGAAGGATTTCAACCACCGAAGTCACACTCGCTTGCGCAGGATCAAATCCCACTCTGCTCGCACTGTCGAAAGCATCGTCGGACTGCAAAGAAAATAAACACGCACAAATTCAACCAAAAGGCGTCATTCGTTTCAATTACTGCCAACGAAGATTTAAAAAAAAGTCGAAGAAGTTTTTTAAAACGGCTCGGAACGCATGCACTTGAAGCATTAAAAAATCCAACTGTAGCAGCACAAACAATTTAGGACACCTGCGTCATTGTCGCTGTAAAGGTGAACTCTCTCTCTCTCCACAACGAAATTCAAGGGACCAGAAAAAATTCCTTGTAGAGAGCCTCTATAATATGGGGATAGAACCCGCTTTGGGTCCGAAAAATCGTTATACTGAGAAAATCTCTTAAGATAGTGTTCACCTGTATTAGCTGGCGAATTATTCACACCGGTACTGAAAACGCTGAAATAAAAATTCTCTATGGGGATAGAACCCGCTTTGGGTCCGAAAAATCGTTATACTGAGAAAATCTCTTAAGATAGTGTTCACCTGTATTAGCTGGCGAATTATTCACACCGGTACTGAAAACGCTGAAATAAAAATTCTCTGTCGGCGAAGATTTTTGAGAAAAACCAGTTTGCGCAACGACAACGTCTGTACAGCGGACTGTGCTTCAAACATGCATTTACAATACTTTAAAGGCATACACAAATGACGCGAAACGTGTCTGATTTCCACGAGCATTTCCAAAAAAAAAAAGAGAGAAATATCGGTCGTTCGGAAATAATATTTACAGACCGATTTCATTTGAAAATCATTCTTCACACCTTCGACGCAATGTTTCAACTTTTCAATCACAATTAGCAGCACTCCAGCATTTTATTTTTCCATTCCGACTCCAAATCGAAAACTCCCGTTCATCTAACTCGGATTCCACTAGCGAAACACTAATGCTGATCACTTCAATCAAGACAAATGAAGCACAATTCCCGGAAAACCTACGGTTCAAATAGCCAATTATTTTCTCCCTGCAATTTAAAACTGAATGAAAGTGAATTATGAAACTGCATTCTGTCACACGAAGGAATAAAATGAAAAATATCTGTCTTAAAATGTTGTGATTCCTCCATCACCAAAATAAGGTCTGCTGAAATGTTTAAGAAAAAAAGCGGAGGATAGGAGATGAAACCAATAATCCATTGAAATAATCTGATCATTTGAACTGCCCCACACTTATTTTTTTAAATCGTTTAGGAAAGCGTGAAAAATCACACTACTCGTAAAAACAGCCGCAGTGGTCACCTACATACTGTACAATAAAAAGTTTCGTACAGAAATCAGACGACATCTACCAGACTTTTTTTGAAACGCAAGGTTAGACGTGAAGTTGAAAAATAACACATACACCAACCAAAATGCCGTCAACACACATAAGATGATCTCTCACCTGGGAAACGTGCGGAGGACAGTTCGAAGACTGCGTTTTGTCGCACATACACCGAAAAAACGGAGACAAAGGAAGTATTCCATCACCATCTTTCCCAAAAACATGCTTTCAAGTAATGTATTGACAAATACAGGCCATGAATCGACAAGGAACACAGGTGACGTACGAAAATTAAATTTCTTTGGTAATGGAGCGGAACGGAGGAGCTTCGTTTGAATGAAGAGGAAATGTTGAAAAAAAAATAATGGATTCGATTCTCTGTTGGGAAACGAGTCGATCGAAAAACAGAAGTTCGAAATGAGTGGGAAAAAAACAAGATGAACGTTCAAAATAAACCATTCACTTTGATTTTTGAGAACAAATCCCTCGTTATCAGTGGGTAGAATTAAATTGAAGTTTTCCGACATGGAAGGAGTCGGTAACAAAAATTACTTCGAAATTTCCCGCTTACCGACATCCTTCTTATCACGATCCCATCAAAATCACCCAAAAAAGGGGTATCTCAGAAGTCCTACTAAAAATTCAAGAATGTTCTACAAACGCAGGTGCAACATCTTACAGTCCATTTCCAGAAATTCGTTAATTTTACCGTATCTACTCAAAGGAAAATTGCGCTTTTTTTTCTCAAAATTCCACAGGAAAAAAGTTCTTGCCAGTCTCAATCGATTAAAATTTATAACGAAGGCATGGTATAACAGGCTTAATTTCGCATGTTGAGGTGCGCGAAAACCCGAAGATTGCAATACTTTGAAATTTACTTGCATAAGGAAAGAGTGCGGATGACCCAAGGACAGCACCGATCTCTTCAACGAATAATAATGAATCGATCATAACTACTGCACTCTAATGTGTAAAACATCAAATTGTAGTGAAAATGTCAGGTTTTACGCCAGCCGTGTTTTCATCAGCGGATCCTAATTTTTCACAACCTTTCAAGAGCAATTTTCTCATATGATCGTCATCCAAAAAATAACGATCTTGAGCAATTTTCCTTCTTTTCCTGAATTAACGTAACAACCCAGGAAGACAGTGAAAATGAAACATACGGGTACCCTACTACAGACATTTGACAATAAAATCACGTGATGCAATCTCCATCAGCACTTTTTCAATCTAATGAGTAAACTTTTTCCAGAAGTGGGTTCGCGCATAACGAAACTAGTCCACTCCTCAGTGTGCTTTGTTCTACGGAATTTTCGTCAGGCAAAATGAAATTTTTCTCAAGATTGCAATTTAATGGATTCAATCTGTTCTGGACACTCGCCAAGAAGGCATAATAAAACATTAAAACTCCTCATTTTTCCTGGTTTTGTGCATCAAATTGATAGCTTCACATTTATGATTATAATTTCATTAAACTTCAATAATCGTCATGACTATATACTCTGATCTCCTTGAATTTAATAAATTTTCAACGCATAAAAAGACAAAACTACACATACACCATTCCTACCATATTTTCCTTGATAAAAACAAAGTTATAGGCGAAAGCTTATTGAAATTTTCGTATTATGAATAAATGAAAAAATGCAATAACGGAACAATTTTGTCATGTGTCTTTTATCCCTCGTTGAAAATTCAGGTACTGCATTCGAATTTTTCGTAGCGAGGGTCTTTCGTTATGCGGGGACTCAATGCATTCCGTAATTTCATTGAAAAATCGGCCTAATCTTTTTCCGGGCCTAACTAAGTTGATCGTATCGCAGGACTTATAAACAAAAACCCTCTTTCTTGAGTTTCTATCACGAAGCTTGACCTCCACACTGCTTTAGAACACTCCAAAAACTATACAAATGTTCCTTGCCCTTCAAGAAAAAAAAAAAAAGCGTTCAACACCGGAAGAACACCAAGCACAAGAGCCAGTTCTTGCTTCTTTTTCGGGTCAAACCTACCGTATTCCACTGGCCAGGAACAAAACTGGAATCGGCAAACGAGAGCCTTGCCAGTGAGGGTGTGGGAGAAGACCTGCCCAGAGTTTCATTCGGACTGCCGTCTGCAGCGGGGATGTCACAGGATTCGTCGGCAGAATCGTCTCTAGATCGGTCCGAAGACCAAGACATGTGGTGATGCAGGGCTTCCATTCGTGGGGTCGAATGCATTTGCTGCAAGGCCGACAGGTTTTCTTGCAATCCCGCAGCTTTCCGCTTTTCTGCCTGTTCAGAAAAGGGTATTAAATTTGGGTTACGTGGAAATAACAACCGGAGAATGCAAAAATAAAAAAAGCAGGCGAAGTATCGAAAAATCATGAGAGAAAGTCTCAACTGAGCAAATATGCGAATGAACGATCATCAAAACGAGCTTAATATACATCGTAACGCTATTACACTAAAATCTCGTTACAACGAACTGCCAAGAACCTGAAAAAAAAGCATTATAACGAGATACACGGTTCTTTTGAGCATGTAAGACTGATATTTTGTAGGAAACGGGCAATAAATGCTTTGAAGTACTGTATTTTAATACCACAACAGATACACGAAGAATTGGCCAAATTTCCGAATTCTTTCGATTGAATAATTGGAGAAAAATCAAAATGTATACAAAACAATTCTCTAATTTTAAACTTTCCCTTTCTTAAATCTTCTAAAAATATACGCGCCGTAGTAAAAGCTGCAAAATACAGGAAATACAAGTCTAAGAGTAGCACTTATTCATTAAGAACTGCATGTTCCCTGAAGTAGAGCAGTATCCCTTCAAACATACTGTAATTTTATTTTTTTTTTAAATTAGCCATTTCTAATTTCTAAAATAAAGCTAAATAAATTTCAATTCGAACTTCATACCCCGTACATCGCTCAATCTTTTTTGCAAAAAGATTTTTGAACTTTTCTCAATTATGGACAAGTTCTTCAGATGAGCTGTTCGAGACGCAATGAAAACTGAACCCAAAAACAGATTTCCATGAACAACGAGAACCGAATCAAGTTTTCTCTGCGTGTTTTATTCCATTTCATAGAAATTTTCAGATTTTACTCAAAATAAAAAAAATTTTCCTCTTGAATCCTACCTGCAGAGTTGATCGTTCGATGTCCAACTCATGCTCAAGATTAGTCTTCTCCTTTTCCAAGGCGACCAATTCTTTGCGCATTTCTCCACACATCTTCAAATTTTGCGTCCTCTCACTCTTCAGGTCTTCAATGGCGGACTCCATTTTAGATCGGAATTCTTCCGCAATCGTGAATTTCTCCGCAATATCCTTCCGCAGCTGACTGATCAAGTCGTTCTTAGTCTTTACCTCGCTCCTCAATTGTTCAGCCTCTTCTGCTTCGCTGGCAGATGCTACTTGCAAGGCTGCCAACCGTTGCTCGAGTTCAGCTGCAAATTTCAACCAACCCTCTTTTTTCATTTTATCGAAATTCATACTCAGATAAAAAAGACACTCATTCGTCAAAAACGGGTCAACGTATTTCGGTCGCGTCTTAGATTAGATTGCACGTGGATGTGTTAAAAATTCAAATACACGAGAGGTCTAAAAAAAGTTCTCGGAATGGAAATTAAAAACGTCATACGATTGAGGTGGAGAAGAACTGCTGTTGAGAAGAACATTCCTCGGCAAAAAAAAAATTAGCGTTGTTCGACGTATTTTCGTAATTTTTTGCAGAAGTCACCCTCGCAGATTTCTTGGTGTAGCCAAGCATTTCCTTCAGAATTCTTGAAATCGGCATGGCATTAATTACGAGGGCTGCTGCCATTGATTGTTTATGAATCCCGCCATTTTCGTGAACAGACGCCACTTGTGATGAGAATGTGGCGGCTGTTGATGAAAATGGCAGAATTCATAATCAATTAATGATGGCAACCCTTGGAAATATTGCCGCGTCAAAAAGTTATCGTTGTTATCGTCAATTTAAAAAATTAGGAAGACGAAGATGGGCTACACCAAAAAAGCTGCGAGACGGGTTCCTCATCTTCTGAGAGAAGAGCGGAAATCCACCACTCCCATTTTGCAAAATCAGAATCGGTGATTTTTTTTAAATTTCAAGAAAAATGCGTCAAACAGGGCTGCATTTTTTTCTTATGCCAAAAGAATGTTTCTTCTGAACAATAATAGTTGTTGAGCTTAATCGTATGCCGTTTAAATTTCTATTCCGAGAATTTTCGCTAGATCCCCTCGTGAAATATACGGAATTTTCGTATCATCAGTAAAAATATTGGGATACATGAGGCTTTTCCTTAGAATGGATTACCACAGTACTTGAAAGAATTCTTTTGAAAAATACGAAGATACATGTATCAAAGTACTCCTGGAAATACAGCTGGTAGTTCCAACCGATGATAATGAAGGTTAAGAAATTACAAGGGAAAACTGTGATGAAATTCAATCACACCTGAAATCAGTTCCCTCCGCTTTCCAAGATGAATATTGAAAATTTGTACCGTATTCGAACGCGAGTGTCTTTCTTCGAATCAGTGACAGTGCGTAATAAAATTCGATAGTATACAATATAAAAGTTCTGAAAGTGTGTTTAAAACTTACAAGAACAACGAAATACGTACAATTTTGGGCAGAAAGAGCGGCTTCAGCCGCTTCATACATGCACCGTTGTGACGACATTGAGGCTTGAAGAGCTTCGATCTGAGCCAGCAAGGGTTCTGTGACTGTGCCCATCTCCGCACTCAACGCCTCACATCGACTTTCCTCTTTCCGCAGTCGTTCTTGCAACTCCTTCAACTCACTCTTCAATTCGATTTCACGCCTTGAAAAAACGCGAGAGGAATGGCAGAACAATGGTTGAGCACACGGCAATCCACTTTCAATCACGAATAACTTTTTTCCGGAGTGTATTAAAAGTAATACATAATGTGTGGACTTGGATTCTAAATTAGACACGACTCATTCTCTCACGTCCGGAAAACACTCCATCATCACAAAACTGCCTTCACATAGAATCCTTCCTCTCTCACGCCTAATCGAATATCGCTTGAATCACTACCAAAATCAAGAATAATCAATTCAGACTCAATGAAGTGAAACTAAGGGGTTAGTTCTATGGCAACGCGGAAATCAAGAATCCGAATTAAATCAAATTCAAGCGGAACTTCCTTGACAGGATACGAAGTCAAGGGCTTGGAGAAGGTCAGACGTTGGAAGATAAGACAACATTATTTGCTCCCTGCATCTTTCAGATGATCTTCCTGAAACTGCCTCACATTTTAAATTCAACAGGATACATTTTTTAGAGCAATGCTCTGCTACTCATGGTTTAGTTTTTCAGCAAATCTACCGAAAAATTCGGCCAATGATTCCAAAAAGGGAAGCGTAAAAAAGCGAACAATTTTACAGACCAGTTCGGGTCAATGGAATATCGACACGAAGACTCAGCAATTTACATATATGAGATGAAAATCTTTGAGTTTCTACAGACATCTTGAATCAAATCGTAAGCTCACAATTCAAGAGCTCCCCGTTCACTGTCGAGAGAAATTCGGAGCAGTTCCACCTGGTCCTTCAAGTTGGTAACTTGGGTTTCGTAAAAGTTTCGCTCTTCCTCAAAGTCTTTCAGCCGTTTCGTTTCGTCGCTTCTGGCTTCTTGCGTGCACAAAAGCTCGGCCTTTTTCTCCTGCAACTCTTGACGACTTTGTTCCATTGTTCTGCGAATCATACAAAAATTGTGAAAAATTCCAGAGACTTTCATTCCAAGCAAGACGTTTTTACTTATATGCGCCTTCGAGAGCAGTTCTTGTAGAATCGTAGTTGAATCTGAGGTCTTCCAATTCGGAATTAAGCTTAACCAACAAATGTTCATGTTCACGACGAACGTCCAAGTTTTCATCCAGCGACGCTTTCAGGTCTTCTACTTGTTTAGAAGTAGATTTCAACTTTTCTTCCAAACTTTCCCTTTTCTTTTTCGAGTCTTCAACTTCGGACCTTAAAATATAAAACAGACAAGATTCGTTAGAATTGCGTCTTTCTTCCGATCATCAAAAGATCGCGTCAACACCAACCTCAATTTGATCACGGACGCCGTACTATCTTTATCTTTAGCTCTCAAGTTTTTAATGACCAATTCGAGTTTGAGCCGCTGTTTGGACAGATCTTCCCCCTCACGACGCAGGTCGAAAATAATCTCATCCTTTTCCCGGAGTTCCTCTGCGAGCTGCTTCAGTGACTTCTTTCCCTCCAGGTCTTTTTTCAATTTCTAAAAAGAGGATGACAGACGGGTTCTCCTTCTATTAGAGAGTCCCGATAGCACATTTTGCATTCAATATTCCATACGACAACCCACATCCGAAGTAAACAGGGAAGATTGGCTCAGAAAGGTCATATTCGGTTGAGTTCGACTGGTTAAAAAAAATAAATAAATACTCTTGAGAAAAAGACGAGAACAGCTACAAAAACGAAATAAAAACCGACCTATTGGCAATCTTTTAAAATTTTGACATGGAGTTGAACCTCAATTTATTGACATTATTTATCAAGTCACATTCTTCTGATGGGGAAGTTCAGTCGTTGGATTCTACAGTTGACAAATTAAGCTTGTTTACAGAATTGCTAAAAGCTTTGAGTCTGTTTTATACAAGAGAAATGCAAGATGAATTTGAAGCTCAAATTTACTGTGTTCATGCTGTATTTGAATGAGGATTTGATAAGTCAGAATAAATAAGATTTTCTCACACATGTCTATTAACAGAGCTGAGCTGTGGGAGTTGTGTTTCACTTCAAATTTTATATCAAGTGCCATCATGCAGTAATCACCAATTTTTCCAGGGAAGCTCCCATTTAATTCATTAAATTTTCAATAAATGAAGGTGTCACGAAACAACAAGACATTTTCAACAATGTACAGTAAATCAAGTTTCATGTTACTCTCAGTCATAACCCTAATCTATCATTGGAAAAATTCCTCAATTTTGTTGATTTTTGCCTATTCATCATACAGGGCAAGACTTTTTCCTGTAGCCCTAACCGAGTTGGAAATTAATCAGGGGTTCTGTTAAAATTACGATCAACGGAGATTTGTTCCAGGGAAATTTGCGGCACTACATTGTGGGTAGACTGTACTTTTCAATATAGGGTAAACGTTTTCAAAAATGAAATCCACATCCGAAACTCGCCTCATAATTTGCCTCAGCCTTTTCTCTAGATTTGGTCATTGCCTCCAGTTTCCCTTCCAAGGATGCAATCTGCTTTTTGAGATCCACAGTACAAGTAGACTTTTCTTGCTCTCGGTGACTCGCTCCTTCTTTTTCAGCCGCAACCGCACTGTTCATACACAAGAAAGCTTGAACATATTACAAGAGCACAATTTTTCACGCAATTTCGAGCTCACCTTTGCAAATTCGAATTCGCCTCCATGAGAGCTGCATTCGCTAAAGAATATTCCACCAGTTTGGCGTCTTTCAGCTCCAACAGAGCGTTTAAATCCACTATCCTCTGAAATGAATCCAATGCACCGAATCAAATACGAATGACATGAACAAATAATTCACTGACCAATACGTAAAACTAAACGTTATTCGTCAATTAATTGAAATACAGTACACTTGAATTCAGCTCGAGAACGATTCGAGGAGAACGCTTACCTTCAACAGATTCTCTACCTCAACACCATTACCGGAGCTGCTGTCTGGGACGGAACAGATGCTTGACGATGCATCGGATGATTGACGCTGATGACCTGGAATGAAATCATCACACTCATTATTTACTTGAATTAGAGTAGTCAGGCACGAAAAAATATATTCCATCGAATTCAGGCAATTCAATCACAAACAGAATTTCATTGGAAACAATTTGCAACTCACACCAAAAAAACCTCAAAGACGTGCATCAACCCATACTGAAGTTGCACGAACATCAGTTCATGAATGTAAGTGTTGGGGATTTGCCAAATGCCTCAATTAAATAAGGCACAAATAAATTAAGATTTAAAAACTAATTGGGTGGAACACAACCCAAGTAGAAAATCAAACAGATCCGTCAATGAACTTTTTACCCTCCACCCAAATTTTGAGTTCTTGGCGCCACAATGTCTTTGACTCAACTTTCTTGAGCCAATCTCAAGCCTCAAACTTCGTCTCGTCCTTGATCACAGTACTGGGTCAAGGACAAGACAAAGGAATCAATACTGTACCAAATTAATGTACTCTTATCAGTCTGAGCCGTCATTAGGTGAACAGTGTGTACAAGCAAGCTTGTTCAGAGGCTTTCTTAGCCATTTCTACAATCTTTTTGATGTGTCTAAAAGAGCAACTTTTTTTGGGACGATTATCCTGAAAAAAAACCTTCAATTTTAATCAGGAATTCTACCCAGGATTCCCGGCCCCTGTCCCGGGCTGCATTTGGGTTTCTCTTACTAATTAATTTCTTGATCCCCAGCAACTTTATTCATCTCGTGTCGTGGAGAAATTTGTACCAAGCAGTAAGGTAATACAGTACTGAAAATACTTCTGAGATTTGTGAAGTGATCATTTCAATGACGCATTTTACTGCGGCTAAACAAAACTGAAATACTGTCTGAGGAAAGTGAATAGTCTCGATAGTCTAATAATCTTACATGTTCTTCGAAGCATTTTCTCCGATGAAAAAAACTCAACCAAATGGATTTTATTTCTCTTGCGTGAGTCCCAAAAAACTGAATGACCCCCAAATCGAACAACTGAGAAAGCATTCTTCAAATTTTAAAATTCAGACACAAACAGGACACAGAAAACTATTTCCCATAAAATTCGAACAGTTAAATCAGGAAATCGGCCATTTCCAAAATCAAAATACAGTATGCTGAATACGAACATGGAATAAAAGCTACTTGATGCAAGATGATGAACTCGAATATGAGGAAACAATTCTCGTTCAGCAATACTTAGTAAATGCGCAAATGCAGGATATTGAACCATATTCGCTGGAGTACTACACGAAACTTTTTTTTTAGGGGAAAAGGGAATGCACTTCATAGGCGGTCTACGATACATTTTATTTTACTAGGAGATTTCGGACCAATTTCCATGGAAAAACTTGATGTTATGGAAAAATTTTAAATTTCGTTGAAGTCAGATTCGATTCATGCATAAATTCAAAGTCGGGCGTTCTTCTTTTAAAAATATTGCCTCGTAAATTCACTAAAATGGGGTGCGTGTCTCACTCGGGGATCCAATACTCAACATTTTTCAATGAAAAAAACCAAGGACGCGTGGCACTCAAGGAAATACTGTACGATATACTGAAGCGGCACCGTGAAAAACGCTCCTGAAATTCGTCGTAAAAATGAATTCATCTGAAAATTTTACAACCTTCATGGCTTCCAGCCTTGGTGAAACTTTGAGGAATGGGATGCGGTTTCAAAGGAGCAGTACATGCACTGCTCGTGACTAGTCCGGAAGCAACTGGAGGAGAGTGGCAATCGGATATGAGCGAAATGGAACTGCTCCTCGAGCCACGTCGACCAGAAGGAGAGTAAACCGAAAAAGCAGGTTCGGCATGGGAATGCTGCGCCGAAGACAGAAACTTGGACGAGCCAGCTTCGCTTCCATTCGAATGGTCTCCGTTCGGACTGCAAATAATCAAGTTAAACTGATACACGGTAACTCTTTTTGAGAGGGAATTCAAAGGGCCAGAAAAATATTTGCGGTAAGGAACCTATATGGCATTGCTGGAGAACCCAATGTGACCAAAAAATGAATTCTTTAGGAAGCGAACATTTTTGTTGACGAGATCGTTGCAGAGAGATTCCACCTCTATATTACTCAATAGGATTTCCGTACACTATTTCAAGAAAAGGAAAAATCTCGAAGATAAAACAAATTTTCTCTCAAATCGTGAAGACACTTTCAAAACTGAAGATTTTGAACAACGGAGCGCCTAATCGAGTAACCTTGAAGGAAAAAAGATCAAGAGTATAGCTACTCTTGATTTAACACGCCACATCGATTCAATTTAAAAATTTTGAACACATTCCCAAATTTCGCGTCAGAACTTCGCTGACTTCGACAAAAGTCCACGAACTCGAGCAACATAGCAAGTAGCAAATCCCTAAAACACTAACGGGATATGCCACAAAAACACAGCTTACCTGCTTATTATCTCAATGTCAGAAGATGTACACATATCACCATCATCGGTAGAAAGCTGTCCAATACTTTGCGCGAGTTTCTCGGAACTATAAACGAAGGAAACACTAAGTTCAGTATGAGAACTTGCCTTCAGTTACACAAGCTTACCGATCCGAAATACTGCAGGTATCCTTGTTCTTTGCTAAATTGAAGAGATGATCACAACGAACGAAAGAATCCACCGAACTGCTCGAGGAGCCGTCACCTTTCCTACAATCGTCGATCACAGCGGCGAAATGGTCTTCCACGACGTGATGCTGCGACTCTGACTGAGACGCACCTGGAAAGCTTCCAGATTGAGAAAATTCCGCGAACGAGGTTTCGTCGAAAGCAGATGTGTTCATTCCGAGAAGCGTCAAGTTGCTGTCGCCAGAGGAACTGTGCATGCTGGAGTCATCCTGGACCGCGATTGCTTCTCCGGATTCCAATGCTCCCTGGTTTCCCTGATTCGAGAGTGGTCTGAATGGTAATCCACCGGGATGGAACATGAAAAGGAATCAACTCACCGACGAATCCGCTTCTTCACTTTGCGACTCTGCCAACTCCACAGGAAAATCAACGATACGAACCGAGTCGTCTGGGATGACTACATGCAAGGGCTCAAACACAGTAATCGAAGGCACAGGCGTAGCGACGTCAGAGGCATTGGATCGATGATCTTCATCACACTCTTGGTGTTCAACTACAGCTAACACTGATCCATCGAAACTGGCTTCTATGGTTGCATCGAGATCTGCGATTGTCTCGTCGTTTTTCGAGGTCTGCTCCGAGATATCTTCGTTTCCCTGCTCTTCTCGTTCGCCTTCACTGGAACTTTTGCGTGGTTCGGGAGTCGCAGACCTTGATCCGCTGGTAGCACTAGCCCAGTTCCACTTCCATGATTCGTTGCCTTGTTCCGATTTAGGAACGTCCTTCGATTTCGCATCGAAAAATGATCCCGAGAACGATCCCCATAGCGAAGATGCCACCTTTGATGCATCCAACGACTGGTCACTTTTCGAATCTCCCTCAACTTCGTCGTCACTCTTGACTAGAACGTTCACAGAAAATGAAAATACCGCATGACCGTATATTGGCGAAGATACTAACCATCTCTGATACTTTCCGCTGTAGCGTCGACTTTCTCAGGGGATTCATCGGGGATATCCAACGCCTTGTCAATTGTCTTCTGTGCTTCCTTGAGGGCACTCTTCGCAAGCTCGGTCAAATTCGCACTCGAAAACCAGCTCATGATGAGCCATGAATCACTTCATCATCGAGAGAGTGAAAAATAATTTTTCCGCAAGACTAGATTCAGCTCAAACAGTCTTCAGACGCGGGATACTTTCCCGGATAGTGCGCAGAATTTATTTCACTCACGGCATGATGCCCTAGCTGTTCTTATCGAAAGGCATTCATCCACAAACTCCTACCTCTTACAGAGCACCAGTGCGTCCACTTCCTAACGGCCCCGAACTTGGAGGCACTTTTAGCGGCTCTTGATGGTAACCCTGAACGCTAGGTGTCGTTTGCTGCATTTGAGGGTGGGGTCTGAGATTTAATACTGGATGTACTCTATAACAAAGCACTGTATACAGCAAAAATATTACTCGGGATGTGTGCAGTTCCCGTTCCCCCACTGCCCCAGGGGACTTCTCTGAAGATTATGGCTGTTGTGGATCAAGATAAAATCAGTTACATCTCAAGAAAAAAATTGCTGACTTTTAAAAATTGATTGAACTGTAATGGTAATAGTATTGGAGAAAAAAGTTCTGCCAACTGAAAGTGAGGGATTCATCGGGGATATCCAACGCCTTGTCAATTGTCTTCTGTGCTTCCTTGAGGGCACTCTTCGCAAGCTCGGTCAAATTCGCACTCGAAAACCAGCTCATGATGAGCCATGAATCACTTCATCAGCGAGAGAGTGAAAAATAATTTTTCCGCAAGACTAGATTCAGCTCAAACAGTCTTTAGACGCGGGATACTTTCCCGGATAGTGCGCAGAATTTATTTCACTCACGGCATGATGCCCTGTTCTTATCGAAAGGCATTCATCCACAAACTCCTATACCTCTTACAGCGCACCAGTGCGTCCACTTCCTAACAGCCCCGAACTTGGAGGCACTTTTAGCGGCTCTTGATGGTAACCCTGAACGCTAGGTGTCGTTTGCTGCATTGGAGGGTGGGGTCTGAGATTTAATACTGGATGTACAGTACTCTACAACAAAGCACTGTGTGCAGCAAAAATATTACTCGGGATGTGTGCAGTTCCCAGTTCCCCCACTGCCCCAGGGGACTTCTCTGAAGATTATGGCTGTTGTGGATCAAGATAAAATCAGTTACATCTCAAGAAAAAAATTGCTGACTTTTAAAAATTGATTGAACTGTAATGGTAATAGTATTGGAGAAAAAAGTTCTGCCAACTGAAAGTGTGATGGAGGCAAAAAACGGTGTCGATTATTCCTTTCTACTCACTAATTTTTTAGATCTCAATCATTGGATTTATATATACAATGCAGCAAGACAGCAACATTACCAGTTCAAAATTTGCAGTGTCCATCAAACAACATTAGAACGACATCTGTAGATTGGATTTCAAGAAAGCCGTTCATTATACCCTGGCTTTCCCAGTTGGTGACGCATCACTCAGACATTGGAAAAGGGTCAAAGAAGTTGTAGGTTTCTTTCAAGAAACTGCTGGAATGACGGGACAAAAAAAATGCATAGCAAAGCTTTGAATTCAAAGTCCCTGGTTAATTCGAACGTTTCCAAGCATATTAGACAGCGCATTGGAATTCCACAATGCAATGCTGTATTGTGTGTATTTAAGAGTTTCTCACGTCTTGAAAGCCACTCACAACTTCCTTTTTCTTTTTTTGCATAAACCGCGGAGGCAAAGGAGAGAAATTTTCGTTACTATACTGTACTGTAGTATCAAGTTGAAGTTCACAATCTTGGAGCATCACTACATAAACTCTGTTTTTAACAATCTTGAATACTGCTGTAATATACTCTATTTTCAATGATTCTGTGTTGTGTTCAGGAAGGATGAAATAATTCAGTACTCGTGGCTTTGTTCCTTGAACTTTCTTTTCAAAAACGACAGAAATTTTGAGTTTCAGAGTACCTTGAACTGAATTCCCCACAGCTACCAAAGTTCGTAAAGTATATAGCCCTATCTCTCTGGAAACTTTTCATATTCTTTATTGACATTGCCTACATTTTGAAACAGTTCAGCTACATTTAAAAGATATACTATATATACATTAAACCAACTTTCCATTCTGAAGAAAATGCTTGAATTAAATTTTTTACTGCACCGACAAAATCATTTAACTTCTCATTTGAGAATGTCTGAAGCAGCCTCAAAGGGTTCATGGTTAATTTTTTGTTCTTATCCAGTCATGATATTCATTTTCTTACTTTCTTGCAATTTTCTGCATCTAGAAGTTGAGAAAATTTTGAGATCAGTTTTCTTGGGAGGATTTCCCCCAATTTTTGATCAACAGGAGAACCAGAAATTAAAAAGGTTCCCATTGAAGTCTGAAGGAAAATGTGATCAGATAACATTTCAACATAGAGATCAAGGAAAAAGCATCAACTGTGTCCACATCGTTGGGCCACAGCACCTTGAAAAGAGACCCCAACATGCAGATGTCCCAAGATATGGACAATTTGATTTAGGAACACTTGAAACTGTAAATTTGTGATTCTTTTCTCTACACAGTTGTTTTCTGTATCTTGAAGTTGTGGGAAACAATTTTTGTTCAAGTTTTGAGGGACTTATTTCCAATTTTTTGATAAATGGGTGATCAAATAATGTATGCATGCATCAAAGTACAGGTGAACTTTGCTAAGTCGAACCTCCCTAAGTCAAATACCTCCCTAACTTGAATTTTTTTTTTCAATTCCCTGTCTGGATTCCCATAGAAACAATGTCTTAAAACCCTCCCTAACTCAAAATATTTTTCTCTCAAACCTCTGTAAGTCAAATTTTCTAATGCCTTTTGGTTATTATTTTCTTGAAATATTAAAGATAAAATAAAAAATTAATTATTCTATGAATTTTGAAATAAAGTGAAGGACTAATTGAACAAATGAACCCCTGCCTACAAGTTCAGCAAGCTTTGAACTCATTAAGAAGCAAGTTTAGTCCCTGAATATCCTAATCTAAAATTTCCCATTTTCCTTATTGGAACAACAATATTTGTTTCCTATACCCCAAATCTCTAAAAATCTAAACCTCCCTACGTCAAATTTTTTTCTGGTCCCTAGAAATTAGACTTAGAGAGGTTCAACTGCTGTACAGTATATGGGAAAATGAGATCTGACATCAGAACATAGGTTCAACCATCAATTATATGTCTGCATATTTTTGGATCCTGGCATTTCCGACATGTTTCTTTCCAGACAGCTCGAAGAACAAGCATAAAGAGAAAATGAAAATTGCGTCAGCACTGGATCAATACACACAGGACTGATAATCTTGGCTGGCAGGAACAGAATTTCTCCAAATGTTCGCGTGACGACGCATCTTGATGCAGGTACATCGGAATAATTACCACCATCGCACTTTCCATCAGGTGCTGCCCATAGCAGGGGTACATATAATACCTTATTCAACACAGGCAGCAGGAATGAAAAAGGGGGGGTGTGACCTATTTCCACCGGCGACCCCGTCGATTCCAGTCTAGTACAGTATAAAGAAACTCACACATGCACCAGGTATACATAGGCGGTATTCGTGTCAAGATCACACCGCACGCCATTTTCTGAAGGCCGTGCAGAATTGATTCATTCATCCAATAACACCCGAGTTTTGGGCGAGAATAAAAGGTCAGGTGTTTGGCGACTGTCTTCCTATAGCTTCTATATAGTGCACAAATCGACTTGGAGGTGCTATTTTATTTAACTTTTTTCATGAGAGATTTATTTTTGGAATCAGCCTGCTGAGAATCCCCGAGAGTAATTTTGCGAGGATAATGCTAGTATTTTTGAGATTGAAAATTGATCGAATATATGTGCTCCATCATTTCAAAGCATCTCTTCATTATTTCGTTCTGCTGACTGATGTGGTAAATAAGTGTGATTCTCTAACTGAATTGATGACCAGAGGAACCTTGACACACTGAACTTTGTTCCAAGTATTGATTCCACCAACGGCTCGGGAACGCGGGGTTTTGTGCAGCAAAAGCCTTTTCTTATTCCTTTACTTTGTTGTGTCCTCCTGAAAGAGGAAGTGTCCTGATACAGTATAGGTGGGTTCATTCAAAAGTTTTGAGCATACCCAACTTTTAGAAGAGCAAACAATTGATCTGTTGATCAAGGATATGATTAAACCAGCCTGAAAATAAGCAGTTTGCAGAACATTTTTTTCCATGACAGTTTATTCTCATTAGCTTGAACATCCTCTAGTTCAGTGGTGCCCAACTCAGAAGTGGCCAAGGGCCACATTGAAAAAATAGAGCATTATGCGGGCCACAAAGGAAAAAGGTACAAGAAATGTTGTACATGTACTGTGTAATTCCTGGGACAGTTAAAACTATTTTTTTTTCTACACAAAAATTCAAAAAGGATTTCATGATTTTCATGATCTGTCTTTTTTCATCAACAAACTTTTTTGCTGCATTTTTTTACTGATAAACTTCAACTTGTATCTTCATTACTTCATGATGACTGAATTTTTGTTCATGGAATCATAATATTCAATCTGCATGACTTTTCAAAATGATGCAACTGAAGTCCAAAAACAAATAAGCAACTGGCATCTGAAAATTTGGAGTGATT